AGGCTCCACCCCTCCTATAATAAGGAGAGTTAGAACCAGTGCGAGGCCCAAGGCCAGTTCATCGTTCGAGGAACTTTGGGCCTTCTCTTGGGGTGAACGTTTGCATCGCATGCTGAATAAACCGATCCGAACTCGGTAGCTTTGTGGGTCAATCATTTTTGTGGATGCTTGGGTAAAAGGACCTCACGTGAAACCCAACGAAAATTCAAGCGCACTTTCAGAAATCTTGAGGTTGGCTCGATTCTTATAAATTGCGAAAAGTTACATTTTTACGTGATTTTATGGATGAAATTACGTTCAGGTAACAAATTATTTCCGTAACCTTTTAATACCAACTTATTCCTCGCACCTTTAAGAATGTATCCATGCAAATCTTACAATGTAAATCGTTAGCACAACGCAGAATCAATTAAAAACATCGGAGCACTCAAAACTACATCCGATGATTTTGACTGAGGATGGTGGATTGGCGATTGGTGGATTGGCGATCATCGCTGGCGATTGCGAAAGGAATATTCGATTTTATATTCCTAAACAATATGGCTGACCAATTATGCTTGCCTACGTTCAGGCATTATCCCTGATGCTTATCCGCCCACTACAACATGTGTTGTCTGTCAATCAACCATCGCTCGACGACGGGATCAATTCTAACCATCGGTACTCGGTTGTCAATTCACCCACCCCATTTCCCTAAAAATAGACGGGTCAGACTCGGCCTGGGTCCTAACGAGTCCTAGAATCGCCAGGGACGGGATCGGGTCGCCGTTATTGCACCGGTCTTAGCGTCTTTTGTTACATGTAGAGTAGACAGCTTCGACCACGGACGTCGGACCGTTCTACGAATGTACGCACCATCCAGGCCTAAGATGCGTCGAGCTTTATAAGAATGCAGTCTAGATCAATCAACATAACAATGGTGGTATGCAAACGTTAAAATCTCTCCCCGGCTCCCGCAACGTCCAACGCTCCTCCGTTATACGCTCGCTCGATGCGTCCGCCGAGCCGGCTTGCCTCCAATGACGTCATCGGCCGGCCGGCGGCGTTCAAGGTCAAACGGCTGGTGTCCTTACCTGGAGTTCTATAGCCTTGGGTAGGGGTGTTTTTTTTGCCACACTTCCCAGTTTTGAGCGTGCGTATGTGTGTGTGTGTGCGCGTGTAACAAATCGGCGCGCAGCGCCGCCAAATTTGGTATAACCTATTACACAGACTTCTCTATATATGGACTGTGCGCTGATCCGAGGAAATCAGCATTGGAGGCCCAAAAATAAGTGCACTTTTATCCATCTTTTTACAATGAAAAGGGTGTCAGAATATTTACAAATTTGGATATAGGACAGCCCATACTTTTATCTACCTGTCGGATTACATTTTTTTGTTGAATTCAAAATAAATAAGAAATAAATGTATATAAATGAGAACACGTTTTCTCGTTCAGTTAGCCATTTGTTCACGCTGGAGGTATATACTTCACAAATGCAGCCGTTCTTTCAATGCAGCGCGCATTTTCTTGCTTTTGAATGTTGGTTGCATTCAGCCCCCACCAAATCTTCATCTGGCATCGGCATTTTGCTACTGATGACGCCATTCCTAGCAACCGAGCGTCCCTAGCAACCGAAATTGAAGACGTTGCACCTTCAACAAACGATCGTCAGCTAATTTCGTCAGCAACAAAGAAATGAAACTTATGAATATTATGTTGTGAAAATAACTTATGATAATAATTTAATCATGGTCGTTAATGATAAAATCCATACTTAGTAAAGCTAACGATACATCAAATTCGTAACGTGTGCAAAAATGTCTGACCCCGGCCCAGGTCACTTATGGTCAGGTCACCAGGCAAAGTAAAGTGCCACCATGTATCTAAGAACTTTGTGATTCAGTCATTCCTACATTATACATTCCAGTAGCTTGAAACTCAGGGTACCTATTGCATGGGGGAATCAGTACCAACAATTTGTTTCCCTCAGAATTTGAATATGTGTGACCTAAGGTCAAGTCAATTTTGTGACCTCTCCATTATACGTAAATCAAAGGGAACAAATTGAATTGCTTTTCTTTTGGCTTAAAACACCCCTCAAACATCAAGAAACACAGGTGAACATGACATACTAAACCGAAAAAAATCTTCTATGACCCATTTATGCCCCTGAGGTCATTTCAGGTCAAGAAACGTCTCCAACATTTTTTGACAATAGGTACATTACTTTAGATAGAAATATGCTTGAGAGCTGAAACGACCAATAATGTGTTCAGCTCAGCAATACAAATCGAATGGCATCCAACATGACCTTTTCTGTGACTTTGGCCCGAGGTCAAATTCTTAACCCACGCATTTATAGGGGGAGGGGGGGGGGGTCGACCGGACCCTCCCTCCCTTTCGTTTTTGGCGAATACCTAACTCGCGTAAAAAGTCGCCGATCGCGACAAAACTTTCAGTACCCTGAGGTAATTAATTTTAAATGTACCCTAAAATCTGACGCTGACCAAATTCACCTTTGACCTGTAACTTATTCCTCGAGACCATACTTGGCCGGAATCGCGATTCTGCGTATGTCAGCTCACATTAACCGCACGATTGCAGTGATTTTGTGGTTTCAAACATTTAAACATGTGAAATGATATTGGTCCGATGCATTATTGTGGGTGTCAAGGTCGCCTGAAGGTCGGGTCAGGTTATTGACCTTTGATGACCTCGGTTCACTTTTTCGAGTTTTACATGTTACTAAGCTAGTTTTTGGAGCTGGTTTCGAATTTAGCAGTTCTTTCAACAACTTCGAAGTAGTTTTGGTGCCTTCGTAACATGTTACGAAGCTGTCAGTGGCGGTTGACACCTACAATGAATACCCGGCTGGACCCCTGCTGGGTGACCTTCACCTGACCTGACCTGACCTGGCCTAAATGCATGAAAACATCATTTTTGATCAAAACTAACATGATATTCGTGATCAGCACCGCGAAAAACCTCACAGCAGCTACACTTTACGACGTTCTAACAGGTCCCGATTTCCCGACTTTTGGGTCATTGACCTGACCTGGCAGGTCAACCGATGAGCTAGGACCTTAAAATTGGGTATCATCGGCTTGCTCTCGTCACGGGCGACACGTTCTTTTTATGCGAGGCTCTAGCTCAATCAGTGGCCAAACGGCGAGGGTTTAATTGACCTTTTCCGGTCAATTTTATCTGACCTTGACTACGTTGCCTCAAATTCGGAATTTTAGGGCGTGCTTCTGATACGCCTCGGTGAAACTTTTCCAACGCCACCTTGCACGTGTCGCTACGATGCTTAGCTTCGGAAATATAAATATATCGTTCCGCACGTACGCGTAGCACGAAGTGTAATATCAAAAGGTTTCCACGTGCGAAGCATGTGGACAGTGCACCCCAGCATGCACCTATTCGTACAACGCCTTCAAGCGTTTGTCCATGTTGTGTCCTTGTGTCATTGTGCCGAGCTTTAGGTGCTTATGTCAAAGTTTTCGGACATCGGAGAATGCCTCATCAAAACATGTTTTTCGCTCCGAGCATGTGCAATATGTATCTCTCGGTGCCGATTATTTTATATGTCAGTGGTTTGGTGCCGGGACATGTGACCTACAAATTTGGCACCTGGACCTCCCTTGGATTGGCTTAAAGCTTCGATAAAAGGTTTTTGCTCTCAATGTGTTTGTTGGCAAGTCACACGCGCCACGTGACAGAGAGTGACCCGGGACCTATACCATCACCTGCCTCCAGAAATGGCACGTCAAACGGCACCACCATCACCTCGATCCGATCATCCATTTTAAAATGATTACAAATTTATTTGCTTTACAACGTTTCACAGCACAGATTTTTGGCGCCGCTTTGTCGGCGCCACTATCTTCCATGGGAGGTCCCTTCGAATTGCCAGTCCAGTTTATTTATACGTCTATGAATTTGTATCAAATTATCTGATTTAGTAGTATCGTAAAACATTTATTTTTCTTTTTATATCATCTGTTCCCAATTGAAAACAAGTCCATGGTGCCTTACTTTAAATTTCCCACAATTATTTTCTTAAAATCAGATACTTGGCAATGGATTGCCCTCCCTTCAAATTTAGTTTCAACTAGAACTGCCTAGTGGGATACTAGGAAAAATATTCCAAGCACCAGTGACGTCACAATTTGTCCAACCTTATGTTCTAGTAATCTTGGTTGCATTGTTGGTTGTCGTTGCTAATTTGTCGGAACTAGTCATTTACGTTGGTTTTGAAAAGGGTTTTGAGAAATAACGATACATTATATAGGGCCACAAGAAGCAGTAAAAATAAGTAAGAAATAGCTCGAAAAAAATGGTCAAAAAAGGAAAGAATATTATCGATCACTACCTCATCACGACCGGATCAGAAAACGTGTGGTGCGAAGATGTCATTCCGGGTTTCAAGCCAGAGTCAGGGCAAGAAAAATGTGAAACGAAACATAATTTCTAGCAAAAAGGCAACTTTTTAGCCTCCCGTATAACTAAAAGGAAAAAATGTTCACAGACGAAACCATCAATCGAGATAAGAGATAACGCTGAGGACAATCAGATTTGCAAGTTTACTTTTGCAAACACTGACTCCTGTGAGACTCACACAGCAAGAAGAAAAACAGGACGCTATCGACGGCGCCAGTCTCAGCATACTTCCTATAATGCCTAGTGCCTTATTTTATTCTGGAGAAAAAAAAGACTCACTGAAAGGAGCTACAAAGACTTAACTTGACAGCAGTTAATGTGAAAAGAACAACTCGCCATCGCAGTTCGAAGCTACGCCGCGCTAAATAATGCCATACCCATGGCAGTGATACGCCACGACATCCAAAAGAAGTAAGCTTATTCAATCAAACAATGAAGTTTATCCAGTGTGTCGTATGGGGTTTTAGTTCATTATGGTCTGGATCAAATCATCTCGGAAGAATGCTCGATGAAATGATGGAATTCGTACCCTTCGCATCAATGTTAAACGATGAAGGTTGCCGCTCTTAAATGTTACCGCAAAACTTGCATCGGGATCGGGAAGCTCAAGAATACGCCAGTCTGCGAAGAACGGACGGAAAAATAGCGGTGGAGCAGAAGCAAAATGCATAGGACTGATTGGAGTATAAGTAGCTGGGACAAACATCTGTGCCGGTGGTGGCCTGTTATTACAGGAACTTCTACTTTGGATATCTCAGGAAACTGGCAGGTCACCATTTCTAGGCCAGCTGTGAACATTATTAATGGAAAAGCCAAGAAATGTGCCAAGGGCGAAGAGCATACTGTAACTAACGAGCTACAGAATATGACGGAGGCGCCGTGGGCACTAATCGTTTGGCCGAACGGGGAAGAGCACTCGATCCGCGCCCCGGCAGGTTACCTGTGCTCCAGCTTCCGAGCTGAGATGGTCGCCCTCCGAGCTGCTCTCTCCTAGCTGCTGGAGAACCCGCCGCACGCCGAAGACACCATCGTAGCCTGCACCGACTCGCAGTCCGCCCTCGTCGCCATCCGAGGTGGCTGGGCCGCCCAGCACTCCTCGCTCGGAGTGGACATCTGGAGAGCCCTCTGGGGACTGACAGCTGGAGGCCTGTTGGTCTACCTACAGTGGATGCCCTCACAATGCAAGTTGGAAGGCAACGAGAGGGCCGACACCATCGCCAAGAAGGCAAACATACTCGACTAAAAACAATCCTTATAGACGTCCAGAAGGCCCACTGGGCCGCCGCCAGAGTGGCGAGGGCTCGCACCGTGTCGGGGCCTGGCCAGCCGGCTAGTTCCACCAGCTGACTGGGATCGACTCCCGCCTACCGTTGCCGGCGGCGACCGGCCAGCGGCGGTGGACATCCACCAGCTCCGCGCCGGCCACTGGACAAGCTCCTCCCAATGGCGCCACAGAGTCGGGTTGGCGCCCTCCTGGCTGTCGGGGTGCAACCAGTGCGACGACCGACAATGCAGAGCCGCACTCTACCCGTCTGCTGAGAGGAGGCGGACAGCCCAAGCATGTCCTCCTGCGGTGCCCGGCTCTGATGGGCACCCGACATCGCCTGATGGCGACCATCAACCCCAACATGGAGGAGATGCGGAGCGGCAGCATCGTGGTGGCCCTGGGGGCCGCCCACAGGTCCTTCAGAGCTGCTCGGCTACGTCTCCATGGGACGAAAGGACACAATAAAAGCAACAATAGCTACAGCATGACAACGTGATGGGAACGACCGTCACAAGAGCTATCGCCTTATCATTCAGCAGCGAGTGGAAAACGAGCAGACGGAGGGATACGTTGCAATTGGTGATGCGCATGTGCGAATGTGTGAAAGTGCGACTATGTGTAGATGCGTGGTGCGAAAAAGTGGGTAGCAGAGAAGAACAGTGAAGACACCGTTGCAGCAGACACACATTTTCCCGTAAAGTCCCCCATCGGCATTACCGCCAACCTTTACCACCAGCGCGGTCGGTGCACTGTCGCGCGAGTTTGTAGCCAGCCATGTCAGAGATGTGAACAATCCAGCACACGGGGGAAGAAGAAAGGGATGATAGCCACCCTTTCTCGCTGGATCCCGCGGTGAAAATGGACTAACGCCATTTTAAGTCCACTGGTGCAATGTGAGATGAACTTGACATGAGGACATCAATGGGTGTCGATGAACGTGAAATGATGTTCCAATACAGATTCATATCGACCAGAAGCCTTTCTTATTCTGAGCTACGAGCAATAGGTAGTACAAAAACAAAATGTATTACATAAAATTCAGCCTGTCGACAGGAAACAATAAAAGGGTATTGTGTTACAACATATGGGTTCATATTACGGCTTCAGAAATTTGGGCCTCCAATGCTGATTTCCTAAATCAGCGCACAGTCCATATATAGAGAAGTCTGTGCCTATTAGGTAGGTATACCTACCTACATCACTTGCGTAAAAATTATCACTGGTCACTTAAGGTCAGGTCGCCATGTCAAGTTCAGTTATACGGTATACCTCTATAAAACTTTCCCCTCTCGCCATTCTTGTAGCTTTTCTCAAATAACTTTGAAATTTGGTACACTGTATACCTAATGTATGGGGTTATACGTGTCAGCTATTCATGATTCAAACTGAGGATTTACATCTATGATCTGAAGGCAGGTCAAATACGTGACCTCATCATTAGAAAATAATGAGAAATTAGAAAAAGCACGAATGCCTCCTGCTTTGAAAAAGTTCGTCAGAAACGCAAAATATCTTTGGAGCCATGACAAATCAGCTCATCATTGCCAGGGACAGGGTGCAACTTATGGCGAGTGATGACTCGAAAGATTATTAGTGGAAATGTCCATCGATGGACACCAGCATTTTTTTTTTCTACAACTTTTGACGAAGACGCGGTAGAGCGATGACAGCACCTGGAAAGTGTTCATTGTTCAGCTCAACAACACGGATCCATTCATATGCAGCAGGAGGTCCTTTTTCGATCAGGACATAACGTTGACCTGAGGTCGTTTTAACGTTAATTCTGAATGGTCAAATTTTAACTCATGTGACGCGTCTCAAAGAGATCAACACGGTGGTGACAAGACAACATATGTACATACCATACAAATTCACGGAATCGAAAGTTATTGCAAAGTAGATGTTTCGGCAGAATCTGTCCAGTTAGCTGTTTTGCCTTCTTATGGGCCAAACATAGACCTCAGATGAAATCTAACGCGAAGCTAGCGAAAGAGCGTTAAAAGAGCTATCGAATAGTTTTCTGCTTCACTGTAGCCCTTCTATTGGTGGTTTCCCAGTCGCTAACGTATAACGTATACTAAACTAACGCTGAGGCATGCTTTCGACCCCTGATCGATCTACAGGTTTGCGGAAAAAAGAGCATGCTGCCCGTGACGAGAGAAAGCCGATGATACCCATTTACAAGTTTTCGGGTCATCTCAGGACTCAGGTCATCGCCAATAAGTAGAGAAACTCGGGACCTGCTAGAACTTAACGAATGTAAGTTGTGATGTTTTTTCGAGGTTCTGATTACGAATGTTATCTTAGTTTTGAACGAAGATTATGACTCCATGCGTTTGGGGTAGATCAGGTCAGGTCAGATCGACCAGTACCTAATAGTGGATGACCACCACCGATTGCTTCCTAACATGTTATATGAATAAGCAACACAACTACTTCTTAAATGTTCAGATGGGCGCTAAGTTCAAAATCAGCTCCAAAAACTACCCTATAAATTAAAAGCATGTTATGAAAAAGTGAACTAAGGTCATCTTTATTTGAATCAGGGATATCAATTTATTTTTAAATAGGTTTTTAACTCGAGCGCACCGGAAGTTTTGTTGCAATCGGCTCCTTTTTGCGCGCCTTCTTTGCGAAAGCCCGAGACGGTTCCATCTGACTCCCTTTCCCCTACATGTGCGCTATACAGCTAGTTGTGACGGTAGCCATGGGGCTGAGGCTAGTTTGTAGTTTTGTAGTTACGGTTACTGATCCGACGAATCGACTGCGACCATTTTTTTTAAACGATCAGACGAACGCTCGGGGCAGTTTTGGCGCGCCCAAACCTTTGAGGGATAAAAAGGTACTAGAATGGGGGCTACTTAAAAACATTGTTGTGCTGGTGTTCCCCACCCACAGCTAATTGAACTTTAGCTAATTGGCTAATTGGCTTTAGGGAGCTCTTGAAGCGATTCTGAATCTGATGTATTTGTTGGTGTTGTTGACGCCTGCTTCACTGATATAAAAGCTAAAAAAGCATACTCAGCATCGCAAAAAGTGGGGGTCGACACCCCCAGTTTTCAAGAGTGGGGGGGTCACGACTCCCCCCCCCCCCGACCCCCCCGTCGGCGACGCCCCTGGAAACGTGGGTACCACTTATCAGACGAATTTTGAGCCTTGAAGGCTCGCAGATTAATTCGTGAGCGCTTTATGGTGGTCAGTTTCGCTTCTGTTCAAATATCAATAATAACCTGTCGTAAACAATGGATGATATTGTATAACTATATTTCACCAGTTATGGTTAAGATATTCAAATGCCATTCTTAGACGTTCTGCATAAATTACAAGCGTGCCCGCCCTTTTCATTGCCTCACAGTTGGTGCATTTTATTTTACAAAACGTTGCATATAATTGGTAGCTCGCTGGCAGCTTGAATATCTTAAATAACACACAAACTCTTTTGATGATTTCTCTTGTTTCCCTTACCACATATGACAAGCTATTTTTCTTTCCAACCGCAACGCCACGAAAGCTTTCTTGTGACCACCTGCAAAACATGCGATACCGCATGTTTTAACAAGATCAATAGCATAGGGAATACGCATTGGAATGCAGTGAACAAAAATCAGCTCAATCGTGCAGCTAGTTTCTAAGATACCAAAAGGGGTGCACACGTGCGCACGTGCATTGAGACCTTAACTCTGAAGTATGACACAACATAGCAACTATGACATTGGCCTGTATATAAAATTTTATCACAATCGTATCACTAGTTTCTGAGATACAGCAAAGGGGTGCGCACGTGCGCACGTGCATCGACACCTCTCATTTTTATTGCGGCGTTAGTATGGACGGTTCAGTATGTGACTGCATACCGAATTTCAGTCAAATCCGTCGGCTAGTTTCTGAGATACAGCAAAGGGGTGCGCACGTGCGCACGTGCATATGTACCGCATATTTTTCTTGCGCACCAGTATTGACGGTTCAGCATGCGACTGCATGCCAAATTTCAGCCAAATCCGTCGGCTAGTTTGTGAGATATAGAAAAGGGGTGCGCACGTGCGCACGTGCAGCATTACACCATTTTGGGAGTATGGGTCAGTGGTGGTTACATAGTATCTGCTTACATGCCAAATTGGAAGGAAATCGGCCCAGCCGTTCCAGAGATATCACTACACCAACTTCGTAAACACCCCGCACGCGCCAATTGCAGGCTCTCATCCATCACACCCCACTGCTGCAACGCAAGGTTCCCAGCAACTTTAATGAATGGAGCTACCGAAGAGTGAAAAAATGGATGTCGTAAGTGCTATGGTTCCCGAGCGATTAGCGTTAACTTTTAGGGCCGTTGTGGTCATGTGCCGATTTTCTGTGTCCAGTCCATGTTTGTTTACAGAGGTCTATGCCATCATTCTGCCAATTAGTAGCAAAATAATCTTGCTGTAACTGCTTACCTCAATAGCTAACTGCTTACCTTAGCAGCTGTTGTGTTCAGTGTTTATCCTGATGTACAGAAAGAATGTGTGCAACTGCTTGAACCACGTGGACCCGAACAAAGTGATCTGGCCTAGGTTAGGATTAACAGTGATTTGGGAATCTAACCTTGGGAAAAGAATATAAATGATAGTGCTTCAGAAATGTTATGGAGAAGCGTCCCTGAAGTTGTGTCAGTCGCTATCCATGCCAGATGGCCAAAACCAAGACTATACGAGGCCTGATCAAAAAGTATCCGACCTTTGTCCCCATACAATAAACGCGAATGCTTACAGAGTTCGAACTGTTTTCTCACTCAAAGTACGCCCCTTGCGACTCTACACATTTAGCCCAGTGGCCCTTCCATTGCTGGAAGCACTGTGAGAAGTCACTCTTTGCGATCACCAACAGGGCCTTTGTCGCATTCGTCTTGATCCCCTGTGTCCTGAGATCTGGTGCCTTTCAGCGGCATTTTCAACTAGTGGAACAGCCAGAAGTCACATGGGGCCATATCAGGTGAGTATGGGGCCTGCCGCACCTGCGTGATGCTGTGCTTGGCCAGAAACTCCTGTACGAGATGGGCTCAGGGCTGGCGCTTTGTCATGGTGAAGCTGCCAGTCCTGCGTCGCCCACAACGCCGGTCTCTTACGCCGCACCAAGTCTCGTAGATGACGCAGAACTTCCAGATAATATTGTTTGTTGATCGTCTGACCTTCTGGAGCATACTCATGATGAACAACACCCTGATCGTCACCGTCGTCAACACCCATTTCAGGATTTCTGCTCGTCGAGGGCCTGCCAGGCTGCATGTCGCTCTCTACTGAACCTCGACCGTTCTTGAAACGGTTGTACCAGAACTTGATTTGGGTAACGCCCATCGCT